ACAGAGAAAGAATATTAAAATCTGTAGGAGAGCACCAAGTCACATTCAAAGGCAGACCCATGAGACCAACAGAAGATTTATCATTAGAGACCCCGAAGGCCAGGAGAGCATGGAATGATCTATTTCAGTCCTGAAAGAAAATGACTACAACCAACATCGCCCTACTCAGAACTGAAGGAGAAGTAGACGTTCCAAGAGAAGCATGAACTAAGGAATCCATGGCCACCAGACCAGCACTAGGAAGACGCCCAGGAGAGGGAGGATGGTCGTCACAGCTCATGAGACGGTAGACCTCACTGAAGAGGAGGCCTGCAAGTGAAAACCAGGGAATCATCAACAGGAACAACACAGACGCCCCCAAACTCACCAAGAATGTTCAAAACAACCAGAAGAAACAAGAAAAGGACAGGAACAACGCAGACCTTTCAATAATAACTGAATGCAAATGGTCTCCTTCTCCAGTTCAAAGACTCAGGCTGAATGGATCATAAAACAAGGCACACCAATAGGCGCTGCAGACAGACTCGCCTCACTGCAGACGGACACAGACTGAAAGTGAAAGGAGATAACACTCCATGCAAATGAGATCCCAAGTGACAGGGACAGCCAGGCTTGTCTCTGACAAAACAGCCTCCAAGACAAAAATGGGAAGAGACTAAAAGGTCGGGAAAAGTTCATCAAGAAAAGCTAAGGTTCCTAAATATATGGGCCGTGACTGCCAGACGACAACTCTGATAAGGGAGAAGCAGGCCCAAATCTGATAATAGTGGGAGACCTCACTACCTCTCTCCCACCAATAGACAAAAAATCAGCCAAGAAGCATCAGTTACATTGAACTGTAGATCAGAGGACTTGACAGAAATGTTACAGGACTGACAGAATGTTTCATCTAACAGCTTCAGAATATACGTACTTTTAATTAGCATATGGAACTTTTCCCAAAATAGACCATATTTCAGACTATAAAACAAGTCCAATAAATTCAAAAACTGAAATAATTGATTGCATCTTATCTGATCACAATAGAATTAAATTAGAAATCAACAGCAAGAGAAATTTCAGAAATTATACAG